GGGCCACTGAGGCGAGCAACCGTTGTAAAAGAGGAGAAAACGATCAACCAGAGACAACTGGATCAAGCATAAGAACGACTACTGGACTAACACGAATGTCAACTGATCCAGTTATACGAAGTTATGGTATAAACCTTGGTAATAAATACCGACAAGTTGGTTTAGAAAGACACGTAAGCAAACACTATGACATATTTATTAGAAAACGTTTCGGTCCTGGGACCTTGATCACATTAGTGATCAAGGTCCCAGGACCGAAACGTTTTCTAATAAATATGTCATAGTGTTTGCTTACGTGTCTTTCTAAACCATACGAAGTTATAAACAATAAAATCTTAATTAATAAATACCCTTTTATTGGCGGTCAAGCCAGTCGTTTAATTTTTTTTAAACATCGGCCGTTTCCCACCAAGGCAGGGTGGCCCGAAAAAGTAAAACTTTCACCATCATTCACTCCTTCACTCTCTTGCCAAAGGCGCGCTTACACTAGTTATAAAACTGCGAAATTAACACCCCTCCTTCAGAGTGCAGACACTGTATTTACCATCTTCAGGACTCAAGTCTGGCCTGCCGGTTTCCCTGAATCCCTTCATAAATGTTACCTTGCTCATACTCCAACAGCACGTCAAGCCCTAAAAACTTTGTCTCCATTTCTCCTATCTAACACGCTCACGCATGCTTGCTGGAAGTCCAAGCCCATCGCACACAAAACCTCCTTTACCCCCACCCTCCAACCTTTCCTAGGCCGACCTCTACCCCGCCTTCCCACCACTACAGATTCATACACACTCGAAGTCATTCTATTTTGTTCCAGCCTCTTTACATGTCCGAACCACCTCAACAACCCCTCCTCAGCCCTCTGGATAATAGTTTTGGTAATCCCGCACCTCCTCCTAATTTCCAAACTACGAAATTCTCTGCATTATATTCACACCACACATTGCCCTCAGACATGACATCTCCATTGCCTCCAGCCTTATCCTTGTTGCAACATTCATCACCCATGCTTCGCACCCATATAAGAGCATTGGGATAACTATACTCTCATACATTCCCCTCTTTGCCTTCATGGACAAAGTTCTTTGTCTCCACAGACTCCTGAGCGCACCACTCACCTTTTTCCCCTCGTCAATTCTATGATTCATCTCATCTTTCATAGACCCATCTGCTGCCAAGTCCATTCACCTCCTTCATACTCTCTCCCTTCAACCTGATATCCAATCTTTCGTTACCTAATTTTTTTATCATCACCTTACTCTTTCCTATATTTTCTTTCAATTTTCTTCTTTTATTCTTTTTTTATTAATTTTACGAGTGAAAGCTTACTGTAAATGGCGAGGAGAAAAACGCCCTTGGGGTCTTTACGAAACTATTGGCTTTGCGTGTTTCGCACTTCAAGGCGATAGGGAAAGGGAAGGGAGGCCTTTGACACTGGTCAAGGGTAATTGATCCAAATAACTTAGGTTACATTCACCTTTCTCGGGTCATACCTCATTTACTCCCCCTTCCCCCCGACACTGACCCTTAAGGGTTTAGCAATTCCTTGTACAGTAATTCACATAATATTCCTATTTCTGCCGGTTTTACTGTTTAATAATTGTACATCGATGTAATAATTTCACTGACCCTCGATGATTACCCGCTTTAATGACTAGAAGAGGAAGCAATCAAAGCTTAATTACGAAAAAAATGCTTCGTACATTACATGAATAGGAATAAATGGTTTACAAGTTGATAACCGAGACACTTGTGCAAAATTTAGGTATCTTAATCCTAGAAGCGTTTGATTACATGATATTCCTCCTCCTCGTCTTTCCCTTTTCTGTATTGGACTGAAGCCATGTGTGGGCGAAACGTTTCTAGAATAAAGACACCCTAATTTTGCACACATGTCTCATTTATCATTACTTGCACTAAGTTCACAGCACACAGGTGATATCACAATATGCAGAACAAACCCTGTGAAAAATTAGTTAACTTTTAAGCTCTTTCGTGATTTCTCACATTATCAAGGAACTGATAATGCAAGAAATCACATTATAAGTGATCATGTGATTTCTTGCATTATCAGTTCCTGGATAATGTGAGAAATCACGAAAGTGCTTGGGAGTTCACTAATTTTTCACAGTGATTGTTCTGCTTATTACATTAATAACAGGAGAAAAGTATTTACATGGAGACGATCACTATTTTGGGGGAGTTTTTCTCAGCCTTGACCCATATATTTCTTCGTTACTAACCTCTGACGTATGTTATTAGTGTTCGTTAGTGACTGTTATTCGCCTCATTTCTGGCCCATTTTTACTGGGGTAACTCAGGCGTTACCAGTTGGTAATGTGTGTTACCCCAGTGACCCATTGGTATTACGCGAGGTACATCATTACCGATTCATGGATTTTACTGATTCACGGTTGTTACTGATTCTTGATTCTCTTATCAGTGACCTATATGGTAGTAAAGAGGAAGCTGCAATAGTACAGTTTGATTATAGTTTCCTTACCTGAGCGTAAAGAACTACAGGATTCTCCACGTCAGAGACGTTGATAGGGGAGGCTGTGTTGGAGGTCCAGGAGGTGAGAGTGATGGCATCGGTGGAGGCGGTGGTGGTGTCTGCGGTGCGTGGCGTTGCTAACACCCTCACACACAGGCTCTGGTGGCTGTCTGCACGGTTCTCCACGTTGTATTTCCATTCACCGGCCTGAGGGAGAGACAGAGGTGGTTATGTTACGGAGAGAACCAGGTTAACCTTTCCCCACTAACACGGTCCTAATAACGTCGTGTTGAAAGGCACCCAACAGTCTATGTACTTCAATAGACCATTTCCCAACAGTGATCGACACGTACCAGATCAACGACCCACAGGAGAAAAGAATCTAAACATACGTCTAAAGTGACCCACAGATGCTACAAAGACCCACAAGATGCTACAAAGACCCACAAATATTACAAAGACCCACAAGATACTACAAAGACCCACAAGATGCTACAAAGACCCACAAATGCTACAAAGACCCACAAGCTGCTACAAAGACCCACAAATGCTACAAAGACCCACAAGATGCTACAAAGACCCACAAATGCTAGAAAGATCCACATATGCTACAAAGACCCACATATGCTACAAAGAACCCTAAGTGCACTAACATCGGCCAACACACACACCCAACAATGAACGACCCCACAAACTCCTCCAACTCCGGCATTCACTTAAAAGATCTGCCAGATACATTAATAGATACCGAACTAGGGAGATAAATATTTCACAACGCTTGGAGTGAGGACAGATAATTGCATCAAACCGCTTGGAGTGAGGACAGATAACGATTCGTAACACGGTTCCGAGGACGGAAAATCGTTCACAACACTGGAGTGAGGACAGAAAATTGCTCGGAACACTGAAGCCAAATGATCGTTCACAACTGTGGACTAGGGGCTATGATAATCACATTATCCAGGGTGGGGTGAGGCTGGAGGCCCCGGGCTCAGTGTAGTGTGTGTCAGTTGGGGGAAATAGTTTACACAGCAAACAACAATTGTTTGTATTTCTGTTTTATTTTCCAGGAAAGCAATGATCCTCCGGCGGTGTGATTATTATTTTACCCGTGGAAAATATTTTATTTGGTCATTAATTATCCTGTAACAAAGCACAAACTAATCTACATAAAGAAAATAAAACACAAATGTTGTTTTTTCTTGTTTTTGGTCTCGTCTGTTATTGTAGGAGGTCGTACGGAGTTTGCCAATGGGAGGAAATCAGGCATGATCCAAGGAAGATGACCGTAACTCTCATGCCTTGGATCGAGAGGCCTTCAGGAGCATAAAAGCATCCCCCCCGAAGGGTTTCAGTTTCATTATGAGGCTGAAACCAGCAGAAATCCTCTTGATTAGCTTTCTCCGCGTTTTTTTTTTTTTTTTTGGTGCGGCTGACCGATGTTTATTACAAGTGTGACTGGAAGCTGCGAGGCATTGACATAACGGGGTGAACGACTTTCACAATAATTTACTCGACCTGGTGCTGGATATTTTTTTCCATGAGATCATAGCTAAGTGCCTTATTTAACAGTCGCATTTTCTATACGATTTGTATTAACTGACAGAGCAAAGTTTCCAATGGTTGTTGACACATGTTCTTGAAAGAAGGATGTCGAGCTGGTTTGATTGAACAGGAAATGTTCTCAAGTTTTATTATTATTATCCCAGCTGAGCGCTAAACCCACAAAGGGTCGTTGTATTTTTAAGCACTTTTTTTTTTGCATGGTTTTTATTCTTCACTTGTTAATCTCTAGTAAGCCCTTCTTTCATTGTTACTGTTCAACGATCATTAACCTTCACTCATTTTTCACCATATCGTATTACTGGGATATTCACTCGAGAAATATCCCGGTAATGCTGTTGCAGGATGTCGCTTTAACCTTACGATCCTTTTTAATAATCTCTTCCACGAAGATGGCCGGTCTCGACACTTCCCAGGCACAAACCCTCGTATATGGGGGAAAACGGGTGAAAAAGGGAGAAGGGGGAGTTAAGGATAACGAGGGAGTAAAGTTAGGGAGAAGTGTAAATGATATTTCTCCAGACTTCATGGGCTGCTGACGTCAGAGGAAGGATACCTAACCTTCTGCAGGGAACAAGAGCTGAATAATAATAGAAAAAAGTCCTCTACATGGCAGCTGGCTTCTTTTACTCTCTGTGTTGACCCTCGGCCCGTCATCTCCAGCTGTCAATCTCTTGTTTTGTCCTGTCATCAACAACCATTACATTCTTAACTCATACCAAAAAAATATTTAAGACAAAACGCTTTTCAGGTCATCAATTTCTTAACTGGCGAATAGTGCTAAAAATATAGGACGACTTTGCTACATCATCTGACAGATTGGAACTTAAGCACTAGTCAGAATCAGCACAGTATGTGGCACCTCACCCGGCACTCGCATCAAGCACGCACCACGCCCGACACGCACCACGCCCAGCATAACACCCGGAACATCGTTGGCAGCGCATTAGTGTCCGCAGCCTAAGCACACAATTCTTTTATGCAAATTTATGCACTTTGATGTTATTTACCTGCAGAAATTTACTGCCAGGTAAAGAATTTTTTAGAAACGGTCGTCTTTTATTATATTTTTTTCCTCCTCCTCAGAACGAGGAAAATTTCCACCAAAGCTAATTTACAAGACTCTTTTTTTCAAAAACTATATGCAAGTTCATATCTTATTATTATTATTTAAGCATACCTACGACAGACAGGAAAATAGAGAGATTTCGTTAGTTCCAGGGGATGCAATTTAGAAATCCAGTAATACTACCCAATGTTTCTGAAGTTAATGATTTTTTTAACTTTAACATAGAAGGAAAGTGACCAAGAAACAATATACTGAAAAACAATTCATCATCTGAGCCACCGACAGTGTCCCACTGAGACAGTGTCCCACTGAGACAGTGTCCCACTGAGACAGTGTCTTTGTAAGACATCCGAAAGAATATATAAAGGGTAAAAATTTTAGGCAAGAAGAATTAAAAAAAAAAATATTCTGCCAATAAGATCAAAACAACACGAAGGTTAAAACGTTATAAATCACCGAGTTACAGCCACCCAAACAAACTTCAAGATACAAGGAATGAAACAGCAAAACTGAACCTAAATATGGTGAAACAGGAATAAATAATGAGGTAAGAAGAATGAGAACTTACAAAAAGTCCATTAGGGATAGTACAGCGTCTTCTACTCGTAAGAGGTACCTAGTAAATGTTTACTACATACGTAATATACAAACTAGACAGCTGCAACTACGAGAGCACCAACTCGGGGCCTCTACAAGTGAAACACCCTGTAGTAAGTGCTTTGGAAGAAATTCGAAGTAGATAGAAAGAGGGAAACACGCTTGCACTGCCAATGAATACACATTAGTGTTGATACGAAAGGCTACATTAGAGAGTATTATGAGACAGGAGTCTAGTTCTTAAAGGAATATCAAATAAATTTGTAGATACCACTGGGAATGTAATAGATGTTAGTAGACCTGGTTAGAGATCTGTTCTGTCGTGTATGTGTAACAATTGCTTAAAAGATACAGGAAAGATATGGAACCGATTTCATATATTGGAAAGAATTATTAGAAAGATTGTTTTTAAAATCATCAAACATTAGAAATAAAAATGTTAAAAATAGGTGAAAGAGTTCTCTGCTTAAAAAATAAAACGGAAAAAAGCGATGTGGAACGTTGTCGCCATGATGATTGTTTAGTAGAGTACTGCAAGGCTAGATGCTGTCCCCAGTGATATTCTTGATGTATGCAAACTTATTATACGAGAGGATACGGAAAAAAATTAAAGTTCCTGAGTGAAGTATAATGGAGAGAAAACTGGTAGGACAGACAGAGGACGGAATAATAAAAGAATTGGTGGGAAGGGAAGAGAAAAATTAATTCACTTCAGGGAGGCCAAACAATGTGACAGTGTTGACAAACTATAGATGGAGAACAGAAAAAAATACAGAACTAAAAAAAGACAGATACGCAAAAGTATGGCGGGAAACATATCACCAGCTTTAATATAGCAACAAAAGTAAAATCCAAACGAGAAACCGTTCTATAGCTGCATTAGCTGTATAATCCTCCGGGTTTAGCGCTTCCCCCTGATTATAATAATAATAATATAGCTGCATTAGAAGTAAAATGACTAAGTGATCTAGTTGTAAGACTGATGGACAACACGAGAACTTAAGGAGCCCAACGACAACTTTAAAATAGTGTCTGGCGATTTTTGAAGTTCTTGTGTGACAGAAACTTCACAGCTGGAGTCCCGAAAAAGGCAACTTGCGATCTGTTTCAAATGCGACTTAGGAAATTCACGAAGAAACTTCATAACGAAATTTAGACAATAGAAAGACCCTGTTCCTGCCATTCTATATTCCACAATACAACGCTTAGGAAAGACTATACCTACTGTTCTGCATTCCACAATACAACGCTTTGGAAAGACCCTCTTCCTGCTATTCTGTATTCCACAACACAATTTTTTTTTTACCAGTGAGATGGAGACGGAGGGGGGGGGGGTGAGCCCCATGGGCAGCACCAGATCCATTCTTCAAGCTTCAGCTCTTTGCAACACCACACACAATTTAACAAATTGGGTCGAAAGAGAAGGTTGTCGCATTGACCTCGCTCCCTGGAAGGTATTGGAGTACCAAGCCTGCTGGAATACGTGGACCCGCATGTGTAACAAGAGGATCCGATACTGCAGTAGGAGAATCCATTACCAAGGGTTTCACGATATCAAAATTACTGTTTACTAATATAGTAAAGGGATCATTACAGTAACTGTTTACTGTGGTAAATTTAAACTTTGTCAAAGGTTTTAGTGATTGTTTTCGTTGGAGTTTTAATGGTTGTGGATGTTGTGTTTATTATTTGTATTTGCTTTTGTTGTGGTTGTCCGGATGCAGCTGGGATATATGAATCGTATTTATTTCTCTTGTCAATATATCGATCACGGCATCAATACATATTTGCAAGGAATTTGAGCGACTAATAACAGGATTTAGCGTCAAATAATTATCATTCATATGTAATTAGTTTTTTAAAATAATTACAGTAATAAAGTTTACAATAACAATAATCTCATTGTACATAGCGCCCAAATAGATTGCGACCTTATTGATCATGTAATTGCTAAATATTAAGCATTAACTGGTAATTG